ACTAGCAGTGTCTACCACCTTGTATCTTGTAAGATGAATGTAAGATACCAACACACATGTGATTGTACCTTCCATTGTTTGAAATTACATGAACTGAGTGTTGAGGTTCATGCATATATACTTGAACTGGGTGGACGTGTATATATAGGAACTGTTCATTGCTACAGGGTTATATTCTGTAGTTTGATTAATTTTGTCAACAAAATAGTGGAACTTTTGAGTTTTGTTTATGCTTGTATAGTTGTGAGACTTTGGCTGATTATTGGAGCCATTCATGGATTTGTGTCATTAGCCACACTCTGATTTAGTGATGGTGTTGTCTGATGACATTTAAATGTACTTATATATTTATTACATTTATACATAATATGTAAATAAATTTGTTGAATGTGATTGAATTGTTTTATCATGGATGCGGATACAGCCCATTCGAATACTTCGTTTCTTGACACTATTAGTTTAATACTTCGTCTCTTGACACTATTAGTTTAATATTATTCAGAAATAGAAACAGCAGAAGGAATAAAATACATTTTTGTGCAAACCATATTTCAAAATATATTATAATGCAATTATGGAAAAATGATTCAACCATAAGTTTATTGATCGAATGACAAATTAGGTATTACAATTCGTGCCTCTTGAAACAGACAAGCCTTTGTTTATGCATGGTTTACATGTTTACTCATTGTGGTTTTCATGGAAGGTGATATCGAGGATTTCCTGTGAGTCAGGTTGTTTAATCAGTTCAATTGTTTTCAGGATGTCCAGTGCAAATACACTGGAACGGCATACAGCTTTCAATGATAAACGAGTGTTTTTTTTTTTTTTTTTTTACATGTTGTTAGTATAATACACAGGCGAAAAATCTGAGCATGTATCTGATACTTATTAATAAATATTGGTCAATCACAGCGAATTAAAAAATAACATGACACAATGAAATATCAAGTATCCATATTTATTAGTAATAGATATACGGGGTAAGGAAGAAGATTTTAATACAAACAATTTTCATTGTAATTTAATTAACTTGCAATGTATGCAAACTACAATGCAGTGTTAACCGCTTCATATTCCATAAATTGCATACTTTACTTGAAATCACTTAATTAATTGTAAGCCATTTGATTAACTCCAATCACAGAAATTACTGGATTTTTTTTTACTGCAAATCACGTTATTTATTATATAACTTACCTAATTTACCTACTGTAAATAACTTGATTACATTATTTTGCCTCAAACGAACTATTCGCTGAGAAATGAATTAGCCAAAGTTTTAATTTCATCTTGCTTAATTAGATCTCAATTAATGTTTAAGATATATTCGAATCGCAAATTGACGCAAAATATATATTTTTTCGTAATTCAAGTCACACAAAGGCGATACAGTCACAACTGACCGTCTATACGGGAAAACCAACCACAGATAGGAAACATTCTTGTAGGCACAGAGGTGTCAGGACTAGGTGTTGAAATATATAGTTATATTTGCATTGTAATATTAAAGTGATGAACACCTCCACAGAATTACTATTATTAATCCTTTTTTCATATGTATTTCCCACTCTGATCTCAATAATCGTGCGTTACTCCTTAAAATGAGATTTTTTTTCTGTCTGGCAATTAATTTATCTCTCCTTAATGATTAAGCGTGAGTATATGTAAATAATATTTCCGTTTAATCATTTGCATATTTATGCAAATTCTACATATATGCAAATGTATAAGGATATAAATATATATATATAAAATGATAAAAGCTGAAGCAACCTTTTTCCAGGTAACAAAAGATTTAGGAGTAATTAAAAATTGACAAAAATGATTAACAACTTTAGTGTCACAAGAGACATATATTAACGAAATGCAATCAAATTAAAATTGCACCAACTTTACTATCCATGATGAACCCTTGTTAATGACACTACGCGTATGTGCTGATATTTGTCTAGGACAGTGTTATTACAATTATCAACTTTTTGAGAAAGAGAAGTGCAATATTTATTGTATACAAAAGGAGACGCGAATATTATTTTTGGAGTGGATAGATCATCGTATTTAGCCGTAGAAATGTCAAAAATCATTTATTACACGACTATCAAATGTCCTGGGCTCCGATTGACCCAGTACCGATTATGTCGGTCAAATCGTTTGTTATATTTACCCCAGGCACTAGGAATGATGCAAGTCATTAATACATTAATAGAACAGGTGAGGGAACAAATTTTATTCACGATTATCTCCTTGTTAAAACACACCTTTGTTTTGATGGCTACCTATCAATCATCCATACTGTTTGGCGGAAGATACAGAACATAAAAAACAGTATGTGCTTCAAACAGGAATAATTTGGACAACTTCTCTCATACAAATACTCGTTAAAAACAGAGAAAAAATATTATTTTGTCAAAGATAATGTTCGGCATTTACATGTTTCATTTCATTGAAATCAGAATCAAATTAACTTTGAAGCATATTTTGAAAAAGAAATTAAATGAGTTGGATTCATTTTTCAAAATGAAACATTCAATTGATAACGAATCCATCAAATTGAAAACATATTTAGTTTGTTGTGAATCCATCAAACTGAAAATATATTTAGTTGATAAAAGAATGGAAAACACCGTTGCACTGTAATATTCTCAAGAGTTATCAACTGCTGTTCAAGCTCCAAAGCGACCTCGATACCTTTTTTTCCATTTTCCATTAATCTTATATCTTTGTAAACATTACACGGCTAAAAAGCAATTATATAATTATGAAAGCAATCTGCTACTATGTTTGCTTATACAAAACACAATAGTTTACATCAATATATATAATAGCGTAAGTTCATGATATCAAAACATTATTGTACACATATGCCTTTATCTGCTTCATTTACTGATGTAATTAACAAGAGAATATACCGCAAAATTCTTTTTTGTTGTCTGCTTAAACATTTAATCATATATACTTAATCGCATTATGGCGACATTAAAAATGTTACATATATGAGGCCGCGGTGGCTAAGTGGTTAAGACGTCTGACATTCTGCTATCATGCACTAGCCCTCTATCACTGGGTCGTGGGTTCGTGGGGCAGTCGCCAGGTACTGGCCGCCGGTCGGTGGTTTTCTCCGGGAACTCCGGCTTTCCTCCACCAACAATATCTGGCACGTCCTAAATGACCATAGCTGTTGACAGGATGTAAAACGTAAACAAACCAAACCAAACCAAAGTTTACAATATAATGATTTCGAAGTAATTTTTATTCTTCCTAAAATACTGCTTTCATTTCCGGATCTTTAAAGGTTAAAATATCTTTCGTCTAGTTTTAATGTGTTCCAGTTTCAAGTTGTTATTTTTCGTATATGCTATACTATTCCTATCATGTCACTAGCTTTAAATACCCTCAGTCACACAAACGTACTCATTCGAGGATACTAAATGGCGTTTTCTTTAAATTAGTTTCTGCAAGCTCTCATCTTCTGGTGAATTGAATATGGTGTTATGAAATCCAAACTTAACATTTAATTGAAACTGTTCGAATGATTCTAAGTAATCTATAACAATATGACCACCCTGACACACCATATATTGTTTCATATCACATGCTGTTCTATCACTCTAAAAACATTGGTACTGGTTTGACCCAAACAAGCATGGTATCTTTTGATCAACTGATTTACATTTATATATGCTCATTGACCTGACTTAATTATGCTTTGTCTAAAGAATACTATCTAATGTTTTGAGAAATCGCTGACACAGAAATATGCAATTCTGTTTCTTGTAAAAACAAGTTTATCTATATTCCCTAACGGCCATACCACCAATTCGCTCTACAACACCCTATCTCCTTTGAAATTAACAAATATTTAAAGAATTATGCGCTCCTCGCTACTTTTTATCCATTTTGATTCCAAAAGAACCTTTCTGACCCAACTGCATTCTGAACTAGCTGATCTTTTTTTGAGGTTACCATGGTTGCATATTTTGAGGCTAGACTGCCAAGTGCATCTGAGAAATTGGCCGATTTCAAAACAAATTTTCCGACAATTTTGTACCGTTCATATCAGTAATTATATATTTCAAAATGATTAAGAGGGTAACTAGTTATGTATCAATTAGAATTTAAAAAAAAAAAGTTATGTTGAATTAGTTATAGATTCTTATGAAGATGCTATTTGTTTTTAATGTTTGATCGCAACTTTCCCTTTCTTGCTAGTAGCATCCCTGTCTCCCACCTTCATTTCGCAGTTGATTTGATATTCAAAAGCTTACTCCGAATATTAGGATTTCTTTGATAGATGTCGACTTCATGATAACGGACAAACTTAAAACACAGGGTTTGCAAAGAAGCACTTGAGGTTGATGAAGAATTTATATTGTATATGTTTTTAAATATGCCCATGAGTGTGCCTTGTTATTTCGTGGCCATTTCCCCGAGTCCGGCCTTGAGGACGTGACATTACTTGGGTTTAACCTAGATTTTCACGGTGGGTCGTCATGGATGAAGTAGAAGAATTTTTAAAACACCTTCTTAACAAAGGTAGTAACACAGAGTAACTAACAACCACAAGAGGACAGAAAGAATACGCAGAAGTTACAGGTGAACATTAAAAATCATTCTTGGTAATATTGCCTACTATTTCGACCATTACACTTTTGCATTTGCGTGTGATGCCTTAGATCCTGTGGCTGTACGACCACTTCACCTCGGGGTTCCTCTACGACTTCAGCTGAATTTAGTTAATTTGCAATAAAATATACACACATCGCTATATATTCGTTTAAACAGGATTATTTGATTAATGCTCTGAAGACGAATAAACATCCCCTCCACACTGAAGCCATTTTGGTCTCTATGGAGTAGGCCTATAACATATAGATAGAATATATGTTTAAGCAAAGTTTAACCAGAAATATTATAGAAAAAAATCCTGATTCGATTTCGTTTTGTCTTTATTATGATTTCGTAAATGTTTAACTTCCTACCTCATGAGAAAGAAGAGTTCCAAAGTAGCTTTTTGTTTTTGACAATCATGACGCATAAAATAGAGTTTAAGAAAGAAACACTGAATATTTATAACATAGATCTATAACGTGCTTCACTCAAGAAAATACACCATAAAGAAGGTATTTATATTACAAAAATAAGTGGCCCAGTTGATTTAACAGTTGAATTTTGAGCTAGAAAACTTGACTCGAAATTCGTCTTTGACTTTTCTGTTGCTGTGAATCAGTCAATGACTGAATGAGATCAGCATCTCCGATGTTTGTAGATGATACAATTTCTTAAATGATATGACTGTATACATGTCTTTTTGCATAGCCAAGTGTTCTAAAAAAGATGTTATATGTTCCAAATGGCAAATTTCTGCAACAATGTTTTGACGAATGCTTCTTCTAGTAGATAGGAAGCTTCCAAGTTCAGCCATCTGCTTCCGTTATTGGGTTGGACGTCTCTTTTCAGTCTCCCTGAACATATATCTGCCCTATAAACAAGGAAAGCAGAAAAATGCAAATCAATGACGAAAAGAGCTGTCTATGCTCCAGCATACTTTCCATGTCACCCTATATATGCAGGTCCAGTACACTGCCGATTGAGCTATATAGCTATAAAGACCTATATAGCTATATATATACACCTATAAATTATAGCTGTATTGAGCTATATTTTCTCAGATTTCAAATTTCATTAAATTAAAGCAAAGTCGCATAAAACAATAAGGTTAATGGTAATGTTGACTACAAAAAGCATACAGTTAGATGTTTATTTTCATTTTTCATAAATGTAAAATTTCCGATTTCTTTACATCATTTTTTTTAAAAAAGAATACTTATATTTAATGTCTTTTGTTATCAACCTAATGATACAATCTTCTTTTAAATGCGACTTTGTTCCGTTTTCCTTAAAAAAGAAAATCACTTGAAAATAGCTCAAAAGACCTATTTCAGATAGGTCAATAGAGCTATTATAGGTCTTTACAGCTATATAGCTCAATCGACAGAGTGTACTGGACCTGATATGGGAGAGAAACTTTGAATTTTCAATTCAAGCCTAATTCTCATCATATTTTTAAAAAAATCTCAATTTATTAATTCAGCTATAGCTATTGCGTAAGCTTTTGGGAAATAAGTTAATTTATTTGCCCATTTCCCTGTTTTCTCACATTCTTCCTCCCATTCGAAATCATGCTATACATATAGTGATACACAATGCAAGAACAATAGAGATAAAAAGGTATCATATTAAGGAAATCAAGTTAACTATATATGGATACACAGGTATACTATATAGGAGAGACTTAATCAATATATTCTTTGTAAAGTTAGGCTGCATTGTTTAAAACCCCTCTCTCTATAATATATATGCATTTTCAAAAATATTTACATGGTTTATGCATAAGGCAATACCTACAATATACCCAACAGATTTGTTACTTATAAAAAGGGTGGCACATTGGATAACACACTTGTCTTTCACCAAGGAAGCCAGGGTTTGATTCCCGTGAAAACGTATGGTCAGAGTCACCTTCTCGACCACATGGATTATTTCCGGGTACTCCAGGTTCCTCCCACATTAATTAAGATCCCTCATGCGCTTACATCGGGCAAACTTGAGTGATTAATATAAGTTGAAACAACTTGTTTCATAATTGTTGTAAAGTAAATACAGTTTATGTATATAAAAAGACTAGTCTAAGTTTTTGACAAAGCTGTAGTTGATGTATTGGGGGTTGGTGGGTGGTGTCGGATTCGGAAAGGTGTAGACTACAGGGGAACTTTAAATTTGGGATAGTGATGCCTATAGCTACTTCTATGAAGTGCTGATGGAGGATATACTGATGATGTTGTGGCTTTCTCTTTCATGTGATTTACTGTTGACAATCTTAAAAGATTTTTATAGATTTTTTTTTATTTGGCCTTAAATTTCATTTCAATATGTAAATTGAAACATTTATACATTGAAATAATTCTCATCCGCAGAATCAATTGCTGAAGTCAATTAAAATGACACAAAATATTTGTATACTTGCATACATATTTAAGAGACTGAACAGGTAAAAGACAAACAGCCTCTGAAGACAAACATGTCTTGTGGCCATCACACCAGAAACCATCCATGAGTACCATAGATTATTGATTGACCAAAATGAATTAAAAAATCCAAGATAACTATACAAAGAGAGCTTGAAGGATTTTGGATTCACACCTTGTGGATTTTTTGATGAGCTTGCAATTGTTATTGTTACAATTACTGAAAATCAACTATTCTTTTTTTCTTGTTACTGTTTTTGAAATTTGAAGGGTTTAATGTTAAAACCAGGATGTTACTCTATCTTCCACACACTAGTAAGACATACTAACTGTAGTAAACTGATGTGATCATGACTAACCTGGAAATAATCAACATCAAATTAAAATCTTTATTTTTGGTTGCATTCTATGAACTAATCTGTGAAAGAACATATAATGAAAACCTGTTTTATTTCAGTGCTATAATGGCAACTTGGGATGGCGGAGGGGGAGGAGGAAGGTGGAACTCTCCAGATTCTCCAACATCCCGTCAAGTCTCGCCTGGGTCCGAGATTTCCTTACGACCAGACACAGAAGAAAACGTTGTAAACCAAGCAGAAGATGTCATCAGGAACTTCATGTACCAGCGATACCAACAGGATCAGATGGAAGAAGACCCAGAAACAATGGAGCAAACACCAGCCATACCAGAACTTGTTCATTTCACATCTGACCCCATGAGGTATGTCTTATGTCAGTAAGGATCTGATTGTTCAAAGCTGGAGTAGCTTAACTCATTTACCCCTGAAGACATATTTGAATTCTTCCAATTCAAAGGTTGGAATAGTTTTTCAGGGGTGAATGAGTAAGGACCTCTGTTCCACTACAGGCAAAGTACTAAAACATTCACCTGTTTTTTTTTCACATTCATATAGTAAATATGAGCTCCCGTTAATTTTATTTTGGATATAAATGTAGCCTGACTGAGCCAAGGTTCTAACATTGATAAGGTAGCTCAGTTGGTTGTATAGTGACAGTACAATAATATAGGTCAATGGTTCAAATCCTGAGAGGTCAATGGTTCAAATCCTGAGAGGTCAATGGTTCAAATCCTGAGAGGTCAATGGTTCAAATCCTGGTCTGTGCTCATTAAATTCCTTTATTCTGTACACTGTTGCTGATTCTGTTTTGTTTATTTCATCTTTTTTTAATTGTCTTTTCATAAAAATTCTGCAAGAAAGGGCTTTCTTCAAATGCAAAAAATATTTATTAAGCAGTAGTCATATTGGAAAAATAGCTTCTTATGTATACTTAGGCAGTGGTATGAGGTACGGTGTCCTTATTTTACAAATATTTTCCCCAAAAATTCCAAAATGCTTTTAAAATAGACATACTAAGTATATGAAAAGTCATTTTCTCTCTCTTTGTTTTATCATTTTTAATTAATATATATGGAGTTATAGCTATGGAATTTGGAAAATTCACTATATAAAATAAATGTATTAGCTTGTCATTAGCTAGTCAGACTTTTAACAACTGGGGTCAGGTATAGTAAGGCAAAACTTTGAGATGGACATATTTCTTTGCTGTCAGTTTTTCTCACCTGTTAAAATACTAAAAAGTAGTATTCAATTAAATATACTTTAGTAAATAAGCTATACACAATCAAATAAGTTTGTATTCTGTTCAAACAATAAGACAACATTAAAGATATGTTTTAATTGGAAGATTTATTGTTCAATATATGTCTTTACAATGAATGTGTATGAAATGATTTGTAATTTCAGTCAGGCGTCACAGGTTGGGCGCCAATTAGCAAGGATTGGTGACGACATCAATAGAAGATATGCTGATGAATTTAACGACATGATTGGTCAGCTCAATATTACTGAGGATACCGCTTACGAGGTGTTTGCTGGTGTGGCAAGAAAGTAAGAAATTCTGTTGAAGGAACATGTACATGTATTAAAAGTTATATTACCAGATCATTTACCATACTTGCTACTAAGCATGTCTGTTTTTTTTTTTTTATATATGATGGGAATCATGCTGTTGATTTGGATTCACATTGCAACACAATCAAGTTTATTCAGTCTTTAACTCTTGGATATAGAAGGCAAACTTGAGTGGGTCAAATATTGTTTATCTGTGATGGACTTTATAAGTTGATTTGTCAAACAAGTTTAACAGTATTTAATTTAAAATTGGGATTATTAAAACCTACAAAAAAGGGCATTCTCATCATTAAAGCTTACACAAGTTGTTTTCACCAAGGGAATAACTTGACTTAAAACTCTTTGCAAATTTACTTCCGTTAGACGTAGAAATCATAGTTCTCAAGAGTCGTATACATAGAGCCAAGTTTTAAATTAAAGAATCAGCAATTTGTATTTACATTTATTGTTCTATTTTAAAGATCCATCATGTTATAAAGATTCTTAAAAAATGTTTTGGTTGTTCAACTTTTCTATTAATTATATAACCAAGTGAAGTATATTCCGTCTTTGCGTATTGCAGAGTTATCTTCTCTTGGGAGCAGGTATTGATTGTTACGTCATTGGTTTGTGTGAGAAAATTACGTCGTTTTCTCAAAAATTGATGACGTTACTCTCACAAACAAGTGACGTAACAATCAATACCTGCTCCCAAGAGAAGATAACTCTGCAATACGCAAAGACGGAATATAACCTTAATATTTAAGCATTATTTCATATCTCTGATAAGAGCAAGTGTGTTTTGAATCAGTATAACATAAAATGTTAAAAAAATGATGAATGGTTTTGAAATAGAAATAGAAATGTCTGAAATGATTTTTCTTTCTAAATTAAAGTTAAACTTGGATAAAATACCCCTTGCTTCATTTTTCATTTCATTTTTTTGTCTTTCTTAAAATCCTGACCATACATCAGTCTGTATATAACTGAATGCCAAAGATTGGATTGACCAAACTGGTGAAGGTGTAAAAAATTGTTGTGATAAGGAATTCATAAGAACTTTTTGTGATTCAAGCATTTGATTTTCAGGTTGTTTTCTGAAGGGATAAACTGGGGCAGGGTATCGGCACTGTTGTGTTTTGCGTACAGAATAGCTATGAAAGTGTTACGCATCAAGGAGCGCGCCTCACGCTTTGCAGACTTTCTCAGGCTCATCATAAACCATGTCGTCCGCTTTATCAAAGAGATGATAGCTTCCTGGATTGCTCATGAAGGAGGTTGGGTAAGTAGTATTTGAATGATATAAATTTATGAACAATCAAAATCAATCAATGTGAATTTAAGTAGAATTTAAAAAAACCAAACTGTTTATGACATTAAGTAGCATTTTTACACTTGTGAGTATAATCATAGATATTTTATACCCTCTACAACAATGTGAGGGGAAGTCGGTCTATACTGGAATTAGGTTTTTTGTCCATCTGTCTTTATACACAATGTTGCTTGCACTACTCCTCTCAAAATACTGGTCTGATTAGAATGATACTTGGTAAACAGAACCTTTACACTGATGTAAATAAAGAATATCAATTGGAGTTACCTCATTTATTCATGGAGTTATGCCCCTTTGTTAAAGTACTGCACCTATTTGAATGATACATATTGGTACACATAACATACATACAGACATTGAGGGGATGTGAGTATAGAAATTTGAATTACCGTTATTCTTTATGAAGTTGTGTCCCTTTGTTTAAAATGTTGTTTGCCCTTGTTTGTTTGTCATAACAGACAGGAGATATGGGAGAAAATCTTTAGGAATAAGACAAAATCTCCACATAGGGGTAAGATTAATAGAATCATTCACCCCCTTGTGGGTGAGATAGGAGAATCTCAACCCTAGGCTGAGGAGGAAGATTCCTGAAGTTACCAAACACGAGGCTTTGCCGAGTGTTTGGCAACTTAAGAATCTTTCCCCAAGGGTTGAGATTCCTCTATCTCACCCACAAGGGGGTGAATGATTCTTTTTCTCTTACCCTGGTTTCCCATTGTGTATCATATACACAATGTAATGATAACCTTACATGCTAAATTCAGGGTTGATGTGACGTTGATGGATTGTTGAAGTGACATCATGCCATTGTTATGAATAGGGAAATCTCCCCCCCCCCCCCCCCCGAATGTGAGGAAAGGTTTTATAAATCTTACACACACAGGTATTGAGGAAATACAATGTATTCATATATTTGCTATCTTTCTGTTCTAGGTTGCAGCCCTTAAGTACATACCATCAGTAAGCTTGAAGACTTTGGGGGCCATCGCAGGAATCTGTTTCTTGGCCATAGGTGCAGTTTTCTATTTCAACAGGAAAGGAAGTTGAGTGAAAGTACTCTCTAGTTGCCTTAATTGACAATGATCTCAAACTGGTAGATGACTCTATGACCTGCTCAAAATGTTTTATGGTCTCAAGAAAAGAAAGAAAGCAAACAGCACATGGAGACTTTAAGTTGTATGAATGACTTGTCAAAGCTGTCATCCTTTTGTGTAATTTTCATTATTGCCATGTTAAAACCTATAACCCATATGCATTGTTTCAGCAGGTTAACCATACCTGTAAAAGCAGAGACATGACCCTGTTGTAAGAGATTCCTTGACCCTTAGTGGTTGGTTATCATGTTATCTAACTTGTGTTGGATTTTTCAAGCTTTTAACGATATTGAATTGAACCGAGTTTGTGGTGTAGATCCAACACCTGTGTACATGTGTACTAGTGATAGGCAGAAGACAGAAAATAAGAAATTAGGTTTAAAAATAAAATTATACAAATGAAGTGATGTTAAAATTGCAAGCTGATTATTCAGTAAAGTTTTACAACCTTTGGATTTTCTTTTATAAAATGATGCAGTTAAGCATTTTCGCAATTCATTAAAGCATTTTCCTGTCTTGAAAATGATTGATATTAGTATAATTCTTCCTTTTAATTAGCTCATTTAGAAGTAATTTACAACTTGTAGACTAGGAAGATATTTTTTATGCTTTATGACCTTTCGTGATGGTATATATTCAATGAAAAGAAAATACGGATATATGAATTTAATACTTAGGAATACTTTGAATGAAAACATTATAAAAAAGAAGAAATCCAAAAAATTAATTTAATTTTAACAAGAAAAATGTATTGCTTATGTCTTGGTAGTATAAGACTTATTATAACCAATAACTAATCAACTATGTACGATAAATTATCAATGATGAAAGTCGAACTGTTTCCAATCATTAATGTATACATGGGTGCATGTGTGAGTCCTTTACCTTCAAGATTGAATGGAGAGTATTTATTATAACCAAATAATGAGAGTTGAATTACATGGTTAACCAACCCCCATGAGTAAGGGTACATTTTTTCTGTTCGTACATAAAGCAGGAAATTCTATTTCCTCACAATGAGGAAACTGATAGAAGTTATAGAGACTTTTAAAGTGTATTGATATTTAAGCTGTTCATGACAGAAAGAGGCTACAGTGTGATATTAACTTGTGCATGGTAATTTTGAAAATTGCTGTCAAAAGGACTTGTATTTTAACTGGACATTCCAGTGTAAGAAAAGAATGTATGCAATTTTTTATATCTGTTAAATCTATATCATTAAGGAAATGTGTGTTTCCTGTCATTTTTGACAGAAGTGCCTAAATGTTAAACCTGACGTTTACCATAGTATAAGAGAGATGTTAGATAATATACCTAATGTTATCATGAGATTTGTTGTAATGGTATATTTTTTGTATTAGAAGTTTATGAATTGAGCTTTATCAAGCACCGCAGAATGTTTTTGAATGGGTTGAATATGTCCACCATTAGCACTTGTAAATTGTATATAAAATGAAATTTTGCTGAATGAATTGATATCAATTTGATTATTCTACAAGAATATTCAAAAGTTTATCAACCAATCGGATTGATATATACACTGTTGTCATCAGTAGTTAAATGTTTAAATAACATGTACTTTCAGTGAGTTTCTTCACTCTTGTGATATCACTTCCATGTACATGTACATGTATTCCCATGAATAGGTACATACATTGTATATGTATACAATTTTAATTACACTTGTACCCAACATGTACATTGTACCCGATATACATATACCTTTGTACTCTTAATATAAAATATACATGTATGTACCCACATGTACATTGTATCTAAAATACATATACATTTGTACTCCAAATATACATATGTGTATATACATGGGAGGCCAAGGTGGCCAAGTGGTAACAAATAAAGGCGTCTGGCATACTGCTACCACTAGCCCTCCATCACTGGGTTGCGGGTTCGAGACCTAAATGGAGCAGTCGCTAGGTACTGGCTGTAGGTTGTTGGTTTTTCTCCGGTAACTCTGGTTTTCTGCAATGTACATATACATTTGTACTTAAATATAATACATACATGTATATACCCACATGTACACAATCATGCACATGTACCCCTTTTGTGTAAAAAATACATGTACACATCACATACAGAATGAAGACTTATACTCCATAAACTGTACATGTACCCTTCTTATCATTACATATTCACATACATGTAAAGAGCTATCTGTATACACTGCTTCAGTGTATTATAATTTGATGTTGCTGAATTTGAAAAGAGTTACTCAGACAACATTTTATATACATTGTATACACATGCTCTCATTTTGGTTTGTTGCACTTTGATGAACTTGTTGGGTTGGAAATTTTGAAAATATCTAATTAATGAAAAGATATGACTGAATGGGTAGTTAGGTGAATTCTGGGCACTTTTGTTTCTCTAGTCCATAATGTGCAAGACAAAAAACTTCATGGTTATCAGGAAGTTCACTGTAAAATGTTTGGACTTTTACACAGGCAGACATTATTCAGGGATGATTCTTTTTAAAAACTGGATGTAAAAAGATCTTTTTTTCTAGTCGCGACGTGATGGCGGCTTCAAAATTAATTTTTTGCGTTTAACTTAGTTTCACTGAAAGTATAAGTGCTAGACCAACCAAACTTGGACCATAGATGCATCACAGGTAGTACAACCCATGCATCAAATGCTGGAAGGGCCTACCTTTCATGGTCCATTGATTTTGTCAGCAGCTCCATCAACATGATGGAGGCATGGTAGTCTAATGGTAGGACGCCTGGCTCGTAACCGAAATGTTGCAAGTTCGACTCTCGTTACGGCACTGTGTTGTATCTTTGAGCAGGATACTTTACTCCGCTTGTTCCAGTCTTCACAGCTGTAAATGAGTACGTGGTTGGGTAGTGCTAGAATTATAGAATGCTAGCTGTGAGGGTCGAAATGGCAGCACCGGCTCCAGCTCCTCAGGGAGTTGAGAAAGACATTGGCTGGTTGCGAAGGCCCTATAATTATAACCGCGGATAATAATTTGTGAACCGCTTTGAGACAACCTATGAACTAAGTTGTGATAAAGCGATATATAAGAACCTCAAATTATTAACTGGTATTATTATAAACATTAAGTTTTTGCGTTTAATTTAGTTTCTCTGATATGTGTATTGATGGTCGAGGTGGGGCGCTGGCGAGACATATCAATCCGAATAGACATATGTATAGATAACCTAATGGCCAGCACTAAGTTTATATATAGTTATATATAGCTTATTAGGTATTAACCTAATGGCCAGCACTAAGTTTATATAGTTATATATAGCTTATTAGGTATTAACCTAATGGCCAGCACCAAGTTTATATATAGTTATATATAGCTTATTAGGTATTAACCTAATGGCAAGCACTAAGTTTATATATAGTTATATATAGCTTATGAGGTATTCAGTATTTATTTACTAAATTGACAGTTGAATGTACAGTAAATGTTGTTAATTTAACGCAACTGAAATTTCAGTACATTATCAAATTTTAACATGTTGGTTTGGTGAATTGATGCACCTACAATATATGCAATGGAAAAACTATGTACAGAAACTGCAAATACTTTATAATAGAAACTTTATTAATATTACAACAGTGATGAATTAAGTTATTTCAACTGATATTAATCATTCTAGTTGGTCTGGATGTTAGCGTGCAGGGGTTGTAAATGTGGGAGGAAACAGGAGTACCTGAAGAAAACCCAGATGGTGGGCAGGTGACCCAATACCTTTCATGTTCAATTAGAAAATCAAACTCTGACTGCCTTAATGAAAGGCGAGTGCTTTATCCACTGCACCATTCGATCAACGCTGCAATTAGTGGGACAGAAACTTAACAATATTTCAAGTGTCTGTTTACAGTTTTTGAGGGACCAAGGGTCTTAATTTAGAAAATTCTTTCAAGTCAATAGCATTTATATATATATTTGCAGATTTTGTCTTGTTAAAGCTTACAATATGTGTGTATCTGGCTATTGTATTTCCACAATGCTTTTGTGTTTCTTTTTTGAATGCTTAACCTTATGCACATGTAAATGATATTCAGTAATTAGGGCCCTGGATCAAAGATGCGGGGGGCCCTATAGTAATCAGGTTGTCCGTCCGTCTGTCTGTTTTTGTTCTTTTGCACAATATTGATGAAGTAAATGGAGTATGTTTTATTAAATTTTACATGATGATTTCCCATGAATCCAAGTTCTGGCAGATCATATTCAAAATGGCTGCTAATCAGCCATCTTGGATTTTAACATTAGAAAATTCATTTTTTTTCGCTCTTAACTGGTTTACATTTTGTTATGACATTATGAAGCAAAGTTGGTCACAATACAACAAGAAGTCAACTGATCAAAGGTCAAGGTCATTGGATTAAAGGTCAAGGTCAGATTTTGTATCTTTTTGCTGCTTAACATTTTGTTTTGACATTATGAAGCAAAAATTGGTCACACTCAAACAAGGTATCAACTGACCAAAGGTCAAGGTCACTGGGTCAAAGGTCAAGGTCAGATTTTGTACCTTTTCCCTGATGAACATTTTGTTATGACATTATGAAGCAAAGTTGGTTGGAATTTAACAAAGGGTCAATTGACTTAAAGTCAAGGTCACTGGGTCAAAGGTCAAGGTCAATTTAGTATCTTTTCACTGGTGAACATTTTGTTAAGACACTTTGAAGCAATGTTGGTCGGAATTAAACAAGGAGTCAGTTGATCGAAAGTCAAGGTCACTGGGTCAAAGGTCAAGGTCAAATTTTGTATCTTTTCCGCGATGAACCTTTTGTTTTGACATTATGAATCAAAGTTGGTCAAATTTAACAAAGAGTCAACTGACTTAAGGTGAAGGTCACTGGGTCAATGTCAAGGTCAAATATTGTATCTTTTTACTGATATTTTTTTTTAATGTTATTTTGAAGCAAAGTTGTTCAGAACTTAACACAGAGTCAACTGACCAAAGGTCCAGGTTACAGGGTCCAAAGGTTCAAGGTCAAGTTTTGTTTCTTTCACTGATGAAGATTTTGTTATGATATTATGAAGCAAAGTTGGTCAGAATTGAAGAATAAGATATGACCATAGATCAGGGTCACTGGGTTAAAGGTCAAGGTAATTTGGGTCCAAAGGTCAAAGACAAAGTGGATCTCTGACTTTGACTCTGGCTCTTGATGGGGGACGTATTTAAGGTGAAATAAAACAAATCAAAGCTAACAAATGAATATTGCATCGGTATTTACATTTCTGTTAGCCCAGCAAATATTGAGACGGAAGGAAACAAGACCCACATCATAGTACATGTAAAATGTATATTTTGCTTCCTTGCGACTTTTTTGGAAGCCCAAATGTCAAACGTGAAGCTCAGCTATATGGGCAGATTGCTTCTTGATGATTATGGGGGATATATTGCCTAAGATGGGGCCCTTACTGACTTGTCAGTGTTCTAGTTTATTTTGAATTCTTCAGGTTTTTTGATATATTTATATTGTAGCAAACCCTTATATATCAATTCCTTCACTGTATCTGAGATTGAAATATTCCATGCATGAAGACGAAGTCATCAGCAAATGGCTTGAGTTTATGGTAAACAAATATATATAATTCATATCTTATGTGTTCATTTCCCTGTTATCAATACGTATAATGTGATATGTGTGAAAGTTAAGCGTAAAATGAAATGCAAGTAAATCATTTGTTTATCAAATTATAGTTATCCTTTACCATACAGATGTACATACTCACTTGTCCTAAGAGTCTGTCAATTCAAATGTTTAAGAAAATCAATACAGTTCAACTCTATAATATGCAATTGAATATTTTAAAAACATCCAATCATCTCAAAGACATGATTTTGGTCTTATAGTTTCAAACATCTTGCATGTTTATCTCTTGAAGTTTGTTCATGGTGCTGACAGCATTTACATAAAGGAGAACGTTATATATATATATTTTTTAAATCATTCATTGTTCTTTCATTTGATTCCTTTTCAAAATTGACAGGTTAAGGTAAGGTTGAACATTTGCTTACAAGAATTGTGTCATTTGTTATCATACACATGAAACACATATAAAATTTAGGTTTTAAAGAAATTCACTTTTGCAAATTTCATTTTGATCTGTTTGAAAGAATCTTTGTTCAACTCAATAAAGTCTATATTTTTCTCGATGTCTTTGTAATCGGCACCTGAACAGCAAACTGCCTGATAGGATAAACAGCAGACATCCATTCGAACATTGAGGAGGATTGGTGAACTTTTTTAAACTTACAGACGTTATCAGGAAAGGGGAAATGGTTCTGTACTGTCTGATTTTTTCCCTGTGTTATTGCTGCTAGTCATATGGTTTGAGTTTGAGATTACTTCTTTCTACTTTTGTCATAACTAACCCAAACATGTTTGTTCCTAATGTAATTAGTGCAAGGATATTTTCGTTAGAATAGAAATACAGTGTTATTGAATAAAACAAGCAAAAGCTTTGTACTAAACACCACAGAAACACCTATAACTCTATGCTGGTCAATATCAATTTGTTAATGAACTTCAGGGTATAAATTAAAGTCAAACCTAAGAAATATGTTTATGACATACTTCTGATAGATGTTTCATAACTCATCCAGCCCTGAAGACACATTTGAACTCTTCCAGTTCAAAGGCTAGAATAGTTCATTATGAAATTTCAGGGGGAAATGAGTTAAAGATAAGGTTTCAT